TTGCCACCGACTGCGAAAGCGAAAGCTTCAACGTGCGTGAATATTGCGACGTTGCCGGGTTTCAGATGGTCTTGGACCTGGTTCGTTCAGAAAGATTTTAATTCGTTTTTTTCCACGACTTTTATGAAAAATATCGGTACCTATCCATATACATATACAGGGTGAATTTTAATACGGAATCCAAGTTGACAAAAAAAACAAAATCAATGTGAGAGGTTGTAGATATCTCCCCAGACAGCACATATATCCATTGGACGTCCAGCGGACGACCATTGTACATCCAAACGTCCAATGTAAGTCCATTTGACGTCCAATGGACATCTTGTGCTGTATGGGTCGTTATTTATGTCACACACAAAAATTGAAGATCTACTACCACTATAATAACAATTACACAAAGTATAAAGTAAGGTTAGATAGCTCAGAGCTGCCACCAGTTATCGAATTTTTGTATTGGTGCTAACGGGTTTTTTACATACTAGGATGTAAAAACGTCACCTGATTATTTTAAAAGTCTAGGAGATAATTCAATACAACCTTCATTAAGTTGTCCATTTTAAATAGAAACACCCTGTAAATAAAAATATTCATTCGACTAAAAATAGGTAGGTAGGTTTTGTATAAAACATTTTTTCATATTCGTAATAGATAGCGCTGTAATGAAAAAAAATGAATTTTGCTCGATTTTTCTTCTGTATACATACGATTTTCCAATAATTTTTGAATAAAATACTTGGTTTTATTTTTTAAATTTATTAATTTATTTTTTAAATTTTAATTAAAGTAGGTGTTTAAAATAGCAATATTAAATATTTGCTCGACGAACTCTTTTTCGGTTCAACACTCCCGTTTGTAGTAAACTGCTTGACTGTACGGTGAAATGAAGTACGTGATCGAATTTTTTCCGGAAAACGCTGAGTGTAGATATTAACAATATCATCAAGATTCCTGCTTGCTTCTCCATAAATCAAAATCATTTCTATTTTTTTCTTCCACTATAGTATATAAATCCATTATGAATAACTGCTTAACAAAAGGAGGTATTTTTGTTTGCAAATTAATCTTCGAACTAATTTGATTAAATATTACTAAACCTTGCATACATGTATAAATAGTTTCTTTATACCTCAATAATAATAATAATTATTATAATATATTTATAACAAAATACCAATTTTTATACCTCAATTAGGATTAAATTAATTAATTGACAAAATAATGTCTTTTTTACCTTAAATGAGGCATTTTTATTAAAAATAGTACAATAATCCTTTACAGCGCCATCTATTACAAATATGAAAAAATGTTTTAGACAAAATCCACCTATTTTTAGTCAAATGATCCGAATCTGCAATAAAAAATAGGATGTTTCATTGGAAATTTTAAAGTTGCCCCCTGTTCCCCCTATAAGGAGGAGAGTATGAGGACCAATTTTATTGTATAAAAATATGTACTATGTGTTTTTTAACACAAAAATGGTTATTTTATCAAAAATGGAGAATGCGGATTTTTCTTAAAAAATCTTTTTTATCAATACCAATTAAATTTTACATTTTTTCACAATAAAAACATGTTTTGGATGGAAACTTCAAAAATCCCTTATATCGGCAGTAATAATAAACTTGGCAACATTGTCACTGAGTTATGCCCACTCTTTTTCCCTTTAATTTTCCCTAACTCCTTTAACTTTCCTTTTCAGCTTAGTCCAAAAATTCCAATTAAATATTCAGCATTTCAACCTTCTAAGAGCACACTTGATCTTTTTCTTTAACTTCGTAAACTGCTTAAAACTTCCAAGTTGTTAAATTTCATTTTTAATCAATTGTTTTATATATTTTGACAGCAGCTGTCAAAACATGGGATATTTTATTGTTTTTAAGGCAATTATCCACCTCACTATAACTTAAATATAAAATGAGAATTCCGACCAATCAAATGAAGTGTCTATAAAAGGGGTGACTTTGGGTGCATAGAAATAGGGGTGAAAATTCTAGGTGTCATTAGCAAAGTAAAATGAAGTACCCGCGTACAGTATATTTACCTGTGCAGGTATAAATTTACTGGAAGCGGCATGAAAAATATTTTATCTTGTTGAATAAAACGAGTAATAATAGAGATTACTAAAAATCGCGTATTCCTTGGAATTTTAATAGGTTATGCAAGATAATCGACGCGTATTCGACGAACAAATAACAGGTTACCAAATTATGTTAATTAACGGAATACAGAGTTGTTTACTTGCATAGTTTCGTTTCGTTTTACAGGCGCAAATCAAGATGAAACTGGCGATCTTAGATGGCGTGATCTGCTGTACAGCATAGGCCACCCACATAACTTTGTCGTCGACAACAGTTTTTTGTTTTGTTGCCAATATCCCGCTTTTTTCTACTTATTTACCATTTACTAGTGCTAGGTTAGATTTGTTGGCGTTTCGCGGAATTTTTCAGTGTAAGGATGGTTGTCGAATGATAAACAGTCGTGATTCAGACTGAATCATTCAGTTCGTGTGGTATGCCATCGTAAGTCAGTCAGTTAGCAACGCGCGCGACAGCAAAATACACGTTTTATTTTAGTGTCTGTGATTTATTGTATTGTTTCTGTGTTCCTCAAAGCCGTCTAGATGTCCAATTTCGTTGCGTAAGTATTAGTTGATGCGGAATAGGTACCGGATACTTGGAAATGCTTGCAAGTACGCATTCCGGCGTTACGGGCCGGTTAATTCGAAAAAATTCGGGGTCAACGACCACAAAAACATTGCGTTATTTAATGCCTCTATCGACGAAAACTAGTAAAAAACACGCACGCCAACTATGTTTTTGTTTACCAGGAAGGCTGCCAAAATAGTAAATCCACTACTCAGTGCATTGAATGATTTTAAAGCGACTTAAACCTTATCTCCCATTGGCTAAGTAGAACGCTACGTCGCCGATAATGAATGAACCGAAATATTGTAATTATTATTAACGTTTAATAGGTTGTTTTTGTTTTTCTCTGCGGCAGATGTAAAGATCTTTTTGTGCGACATGGGAAGATTTTATTGCTTTATAAACCCCCAATATTCCAGTTTTTATGCCGCTCTTCCTATTACTTGTCACTCACTTTTAACTTCCTATTGTCGAGCCGGTTATTGTTGAATAATTGAGGTTATTAATTTTTTGACAGTTACGACCTTGATCGCGCAATTTTAGCATTGCTGTACGAAAACAAAACGAAATGCACTCGAAATAGGACAATGGTCGGCACTTTATTGCATTTCTATCGAGTACTAATTTCCCATTATGTTCGTTGTGTTATTGTTTATGTTTTCCACATGTTCGTACGCTTTGTCGGCGGGTACTACAACGGAAAACCAAGTACCTACTCTCGAATAAAATACTTTGCTACGTTTATAATGCATTAATAAGGCCGCGACTCGCGAAAAACCTTTGTGTCAGGCTTATTTACGGTATGATATTGTTTTTGAGTCGATTGAATTTGTCTTTCGGAGATTTGTTTTGTGTTTTGAGGGTTTTAATGACAAAATAATTAATGTAATGTAAAATTTGATGGTTTGCTATAGTACATTCAAAATAAGAAAAACATTAAGTTATTTTTGGTTGGTAGTCACTAGAAATTGACATTTCTGTTTTAAATAAAACATTAAAAATTTATATTAAAATGTCTGAAGTTATAGCAGAAATTTTACAGTTTTTTATACTCAACTGTTGTTCATAGCAACCATTTATAAATAATAACCGTTTTGTTTGTCATATTCGGGAAACCCTGCATATTGATGTTATTATTGTAAAATAAAAATCAATGACTTGAACAAAAAATTATTTAATGTAAATAACTCAAAATTATCTGTGACAAGGTTAAAATATTAAACACTATTAGATAAACTATGTTATGAATTTATTTATGTTTTTTATTCATTTTTTTTTAGTTTTACAAAAATTTAATAATATTGTTAAATAGGTATATTACCTACTGTCAAAAAGGTGCAAAAATAATTCAAATACTTCATACTTCTAAATGCTTATAAATAAAAACTTTAACCATAACATTTCCAAGTACAGAGAGAAGTGAGTCACAATGCGACTTAATGAACTTTATTAGTACAGTTTAAGTTTTAAAACGATTAAGGGGTTCTTATTATCAAACAACAAAGCAAAGATATCGCTTGGGAATATTTAAGAAATAAAAACAAGATAATATGAGTAGAGACAAAATATTTGAAAACGGGCGTCTATACAGAAAAAATAAACAAACAAGACCATAATAATGAGTTTAAATGTATAGCGTGTTCACGTTGTGAAAAACCTTGGGATTATAGTTATTGGCGTTTATCTTCTACATTGTTTTGATTGTAATGTTGAAATTCGGCGTATAGTTAAAGAATGTATGCCTAAACAACATATTAAAATAACTATAATATATCTTTTACGGTTTTTTAGATTTTAACAAATACAACATTTATAAAACTACAAAACCCAAATTTTCATGTTTCCATTATTGAATGAATGTTTTATATACCTACATACATACATAAGTACGTAATATGGTAAAAAAAAATTGTGTGGGTTATCGTTATCTTTTATTTGCATTTGATACCAGTGGGTATTAGTGTTAGTGACAATGCACATGAAATCGAATAGTTTATTAGTTACACTTAGTGTGGAATGTGTTAAACTAAAAATAAATTTCTTTCTGTAGTAGGAAAAATGATCAAAATGTATGTATTACACTTGTTCTTTTGTTTCGTGTGTTTTTTGTTTTATTTGGTTAAAAGAGAGGTTATGTTTTGAGAGCAACCGAATATGATTTGTTTGTTAATAATAATATTTTATTGATTGGTTCAAAAGACAATTATTGTATAATTATTCTTATATGATTTTTAAGTTATTGAGTTTTGGAGACCAGCATTGTCCTCCGAGAAGTGCCGATTTAAGCCCTATTGACCTAATTCTCTCTTATTGGGATGGTTTATACAGTACTTTTAACATTTGTTTTTGTTGCAGCACCAGTTCAAAAATCATAATATCAAACTTGGACCCTACGAAACGATTCTCAGACATCGAGGAACTTCTAGCGCGACATGGACGAGTAGTCGTCGTCGACAAACTCACCTCCAAAGACCCAAACTCACAGACCGTCCAGGTTGTGTACGAAAACACCGAACAGGCACAAGAGTAAGTACTTAAAAAAATTTTACACGGAAAAAAGCTATAAATATAATTATGTAATAATTATTACCTACACATGCATTTGGTGGTTAATTCTATCAAATTCCACTAATTTAGCAGCTCTTTTATAATGGGGTAGTTAAATTTTTTCTGACCTATAGTTTTTATGGTTTTATTCAAGGCATTTTTTAATATTAAACATTTCTGTGAAATCAGAATTTCAATTGAGTTTACCGTTTCCGAGATATTTACAAAAAATATAAATTTTTATGACGTCACAAACCTTGCCATGTGACCAACATTCTAAGATTTCTATTGGTTGAAAATTACCCTGTTGTCAAGTTGTCTTGTTAATGATTTCATTCGGTTATGTAAGAAAATACCCGAAGAGGTTATGTACAAATAGGTACTGTCACTGTCAGTTGAGTGAAAGATGGTCACCAAATTCATTAAGTACCTATCTTCCTTATTACGGGGTATCATATTACTGTTTGATATTTTAGAGTCCAAAATATATCTAAAAGAATATAAAGAACTAGGCATTATACTAATAAAATGCATTTACGACAAAATATGATTATAATTATACACCATTCCACAAGATTCCTCTGCTTTGGAGTCCGTTATTAATAAATCACTTATCTAATATCAATTACAAATAACATAACAATAACATTGATTTTTAATAATCTAAATTTAAAAAAAAACATAACCCGAAAAAAAGAAACATCAAAAAATCAATTCTTCTTCTTCTCAACTAAAATTATAGATCAAGTGGTTTAAAATATTATAACGTGGCGCCATCTATCGTAAGAATCTTAAACTAAACACACTGGCAACCATAGAAAAAGCTGGCAACGTTGTCAATAGACTAGTGACGTAATTAGGAGATTTTTTTTTTGTAAATATCTCGAAAACGGTAAACTCAATTGAAATTCCGATTTCACAGAAATGTTTAAAATTACAAAACGCCTTGAATAAAACCATAAAAAGTATAGGTCAGAAAAAATTTAACTACCCCATTCCAAACCAAATATTAACTTACACAAGAAACAATCTTCCAAAATGTCGGACACTTTCGTGAGTGGGGGATATTTTTAAGAATAGGCCAGTCGTACCAATATTTACTAATCTTAGAATAAATATAATTATATTTATATCCAGTATAGTTTTATATATTTAAGAACAGAATAGAGGGAATTTTTCAAAATTTGGTCTAATCGATTTTTAATCTTAAATTAGGAATAAGATTATTTCATTTAAAGTCTTTCTTAGCATTTAACAGGCAAGAATAAGATCTGCTTGTTTAAAGAAAGATTAATATTTAGTTTAATGTTAGTTTTAGCGTTGACAATATAAGGTCAATCACATTGTTTCAACTGTACTTGATTTTAAGCTAAGAAATAAAATCTTTTTAATATTTATTTAATCCTAGATACATATTTAACTGAAATACAATGTTGTAAAATGTATAATGCTGCAAAAAGCTTATCATTATTGTAAATTCAAATAAGTCAAGATTTCCCGTAAATCACACTCACACATGTAATACGAGTTGGTAAAATTTCCAACCTAAGCATTTTTTCTGCATAAAAAATTGTTATAGTTGCAAATTATCTTAGTGTCATATAATGTATACATAATGGACAACAAAAGTATTTGTGCCATAGAAACAAAATAAAAAAAGATATCAATAAACTAAAAAACTGCTTGGTAATGAACCAAATAACTTTTATATTGAACTTTTTGTTTTTTTTTAACTTTGCAAATAACAAAGAAAGTCATTATTTAATACTTTTGTTCCACCCTGTATAACGCAGTGGCGGCTCGTGACATGTTAAAGAGCGTAAATATCAACAATATTTAAAAAAAACTACCTCTACGTATTACTTAAAGTCTTGTGGTCTAGAGAATTACTCCACCTTCATTTAGTCTTCTTGGTATTAATAATCTACTTTTAATTCAACTGAACGGTTATGCGGGTTCATTTAATATATTAATGGCATAAATCACCATCACAACTTTAAATAATCAATGGAATAAAAAAGTTAAAACTTAAATTATCGTTTGAAATGCGCATTGAAAGTGCATCAACTTAAAGCGTAAGAAGTCTGAAAAGATTTTTCTTCATTAATTGACAGGCTGTCGTAGATATTCAGTCAGTAATTGCATTGCCACGCCAAAGTTACCTACTGCCTTTTTTATTTTTATCTCTAAGGCTTTTCAATTTCCTGTAGAATTTTGCATTTTAGATATAAAAGTTATCTTTCGGAAAAAATACTATTTACTTAAAAAACACAAGTAAAACTAACTAAAATGATTTATTATGTAGGATTCTAAATACCTAACATTTTTTATTTTTTTTTTCAGGGCCGTAACCCAGCTAAATGGTTTGGAATTGGACGGAAGGCCCCTCAAAGTGGAATTAGCAGAAAAACGGGGTCGAAAGGGCCCTAGAGGCCCCGGGGCCCCGTTTGGGGGCCTTCCAGGACAAAGCAGACAGACAGATTTCCCTCTTAGGATTTTGGTACAAAGTGATATGGTAAGATAATTACTTAACTTTTATTTTATAAGATATCAAAATTCCATAAAAGTTTTGAGGTACTGAGCCCCATTTTTTACAGAATTTTTAACAAATTTATTAATTTTATTTTTAATAATTTTCCTAAACATTATAGGTATTAATGTGCAGTTTTCAATTATCCGGTTTTTATTAAATTATATATAAGGGCAGTTTTCATTTATCCAATTTTGTTCCATGTTTTACACCTGTTTGATTTCTGTCATTTTTGACGTCTGTCATCTTTGAACATCTTTTATAAGAATCTATTCCAAAAACGTTTTGAGGTATCTTTTATTCAAGTACCCGGTTTTAAATAAATTAATTGTTAAAGCAGATTTCAATTATACAATTTTCTTTGAATTCCAAAAACGTTTTAAGGTATTGAGCCTCATTTTTCACAAAATTTTCATGCACCAGCCATTTTCATTGCATCTAAAATTATTAAAAATATATCTATTCTTCTTTGTTTTATATTTTAACGGGTTTTTATTATTTTATCACCAACAATATTCCGTATTTTCCAAAACTCGTGTGCAGTTTTCATTTCCCAGGTTTTAAATAAATTTAATGTAGGAGCAGTTTTCAATTATCCAATTTTGTTCGAATTTGGTCAGCTTTCTGTCATTTTTTACAACTGCCATGTTTGATTCCTGTTATTTTTGACATCTGTCATTTTTACATTTTTACCATTTGTAATTTTTTGCAGGTTTCAATTATCCTGTTTTAAATATTCTAAATGAAGGGCAATTGTCATGTTTGATTTCTGTCATTTTTGACATCTGTCTTTTTGACACATGTCATTTTTAAGTCCACCATTTTTGATAACTGACATTTTTGACGTTTGTATTTTTTGGCATTTTATATAAGAAACTATTAAAATTCCAAAAAAGTTTTGAGGTATTTGAGCTCCATTTTTCACAGAATTTTCATGCACCAGCCATTTTCCCTGTAGCTAAAATTATTAAAAGATGTTTCCATATGTATATTTATATTTTTCTTTTTTTTCTTGTTAATTCAATTACCCTGTTTTAAATAAATTAAATGTAAGGGCACTTTTCATTTATCCAATTTTGTTCGAATTCTGTCATTTTTACAAGTTGTGATTTTTTGATATATTTTATAAGATAGATACAATTAAAATTCCAAAAATGTTTTGATTTATTGAGCCATTTTCCCTGTAACTAAAATTATTAAAAGATATTTCTATTTTTCTTTGTTTTCTATTTGAACGGGTTTTTATTATTTTATCACCAACAATATTCCGTATTTTCCAAAACTCATGTGTAGTTTTCAATTCCCGGGTTTTAAATAAATTTAATGTAGGAGTAGTTTTCAATTATCCAATTTTGTTCGAATTTGGTCAGTTTTGTGTCATTTTTTCCAACTGTCATGTTTGATATCTGTCATTTTTGACGTCTGTCTTTTTTGACATTTTATATAAGATACTATTAAAATTCATCATTTTGAGGAATTGAGCTCCCTTTTCACAGAATTTTCATGCACCAGCCATTTTCCCTGTAGCTAAAATTATTAAAAGATGTTCTTTTTCTTTTCTTGTTAATTCAATTACCCTGTTTTAAATGAATTAACTGTAAGGGCAGTTTTCATTTATCCAATTTTGTTCGAATTCTGTCATTTTTACCAGTTTTACCATATTTTATAAGATAGATACCATTAAAATTCCAAAAACGCACCTAAAATTATTAAAAGATATTTCTATTTTTCTTTTTTTCTTCTATTTTTAACGGGTTTCAATATTTTATTACTAACAATATTCCGGATTTTCCAAAACTCATGTGAAGTTTACAATTCCCAGGTTTTAAATAAATTTAATGTAAGAGCAGTTTTCAATTATCCAATTTTGTTCGAATTTTGTCAGTTTTCTGTCATTTTTTACATTTGTCATGTTTGATTTCTGTCATTTTCGACATCTGTCTTTTTTGACATTTTATGTAAGAAACTCAAAATTCCAAAAACGTTTTGAGGTATCGAGCTCCAATTTTCACAGAATTTTCATGCACCAGTCATTTTAAAAGATATTTCTATTTTTCTTTGTTTTCTATTTTTAACGGGTTTTCATTATTCCCAGGTTTTAAATAAATTAAATGTAGAAGCAGTTTTCATTTCAATTTTGTTTGAATTTGGTTAGTTTTCTGTCATTTTTATAACTGACATGTTTGATTTCTGTCATTTTTGACATCATTTTTACCATCATTTTTACCATCATTTTTTGACATCTTTTATAAGATACTTAAAATTCCAAAAACGTTTCAAGGTATTTTCACAGAATTTTCATGCACCAGCCATTTTCCTTGTTCCAAAAATTATTAAAAGATATTTCTATATTTCTTTGTTTTCTATTTGAACGGGTTTTCATTATTTTATTACTAACAATATTCCGTATTTTCCAAAACTCATGTGCAGTTTTCAGTTTCCAGGTTTTAAATAAACTAAGTGTATGAGCAGTTTTCAATTATCCAATTTTGTTCTAATTTGGTCAATTTTCTGTCATTATTTACAACTGTCATGTTTGATTTCTGTTTACATCTGTCATTTTTACACCCGTCATTTTTGACGTCTGCAATTTTTGACATCTGCCATTTGTCATTTTTTGCAGTTTTCAATTATCCGTTTTTAAATATACCAAATGGAAGGGCAACTTTTAATTATCCAATTTTGTTTAAATTTTATTAGTTTTTTGTCATTTTTTACGACTGATGTTTTATTTTTGTTATTTTTGACATCATTCATTTGCACTTCCGTCATTTTTGCAATTTGTCATTTTTTGCACTTCTGAAGGGCAGTTTTTAATTATCCAATATTGTTTAAATTTGGTCAGTTTTCTGTAGTGGTTTACACCTGACATATTTGACATCTGTCATTATTACATCCGTCATTTTTGACCACTGTCATTTTTTGACCCATTTTCACAGAACCAAAATCAAAAATGATAGATGACAAATGCATAAAATGTGCTGTCAAAAATTACAGAAATTAAAGATGTGAAATAATAATCTCGATAATAATAATAAATCAATTTAGTAAATTTAAAAAAACTCTCCCACCATTTTTTTAACCGAGCGAATAACAAGTTTTGGTTTACCCCTCCGCAAATACCTTTTGTAATTACCTTGTTTTTTTTTTCATAGGTAGGTGCGATAATTGGTAGACAGGGTTCGACGATAAGACAGATAACACAACAGACGCGGGCGAGGGTCGACGTGCACCGAAAAGACAACGTCGGATCCCTGGAGAAGGCCATCACGATCTACGGCAACCCCGAAAATTGCACGAACGCATGCAAGAAAATCCTCGAAGTCATGCAGCAAGAGGCCAACAACACCAACAAGGGGTAAGCACACCTCACTTTGTTTCCTACCCACCCAAAATAACGTTTTATTTCAATATGTTAAATGTGGCTTTTATTATATAATGGGGTAGTTACATTTTTCTGACCTATACTTTTTATGGTTTTATTCAAGGCGTTTTGTAATATTAAACATTTCTGTGAAATCGGAATTTCAATTGAGTTTACCGTTTTCGAGATATTTACAAAAAATATAAATTTTTATGACGTCACAAACCTCGCCATGTGACCAACATTCTAAGATTTCTATTGGTTGAAAATTACCCTGTTGTCAAGTTGTCTTGTTAATGATTTCATTCGGTTATGTCAGAAAATACCCGAAGAGGTTATGTACAAATACTGTCACTGTCAGTTGAGTGAAAGATGGTCACCAAATTCATTAAGTACCTATCTTCCTTATTACGAGGTATCATATTACTGTTTGATATTTTAGAGTCCAAGATATATCTAAAAGAATATAAAGAACTAGGCATTATACTAATAAAATGTATTTACGACAAAATATGATTATAATTATAGGTACTTACTTTATTTGTTTAAAAGCTCCAATGTTCAATGTAACCAACCATTCCACAAGATTCCTCTGCTTTGGAGTCCGTTATTAATAAATCACTTATCTAATATCAATTACAAATAACATAACAATAACATTGATTTTCAATAATCTAAATTAAAAAAAATAACCCGAAAAAAAGAAACGTCAAAAAATCAATTCTTCTTCTTCTTCTCAACTAAAATTATAGATCAAGTGGTTTTAAAACTAAAATATTATAACGTGGCGCCATCTATCGTAAGAATCTTAAACTAAACACACTGGCAACCATACAAAAAGCTGGCAACGTTGTCAATAGCCTAGTGACGTAATTAGGAGATTTTTTTTTGTAAATATCTCGAAAACGGTAAACTCAATTGAAATTCCGATTTCACAGAAATGTTTAAAATTACAAAACGCCTTGAATAAAACCATAAAAAGTATAGGTCAGAAAAAATTTAACTACCCCATTAACGACCCTACCCCTTTTTGCCTGCTCGATCTGATATATTATTATATTCCTTCCATTTTAGTGAAATTTCTCTGAAGATCTTGGCGCACAACAACCTAATCGGTCGGATAATCGGCAAGGGGGGCAACACCATCAAACGTATCATGCAAGAGACCGACACCAAGATAACCGTTTCAAGCATAAATGACATCAACTCATTTAATTTGGAACGGATTATCACGGTTAAGGGCGTCATTGATAACATGAGCAAAGCGGAGGCGCAAATTAGCGCCAAGCTGCGGCAAAGCTACGAGAACGATTTGCAGGCGATGGCGCCCCAAACCATGATGTTCCCCGGGCTCCACCCCATGGCCATGATGGCCACTGCAGGTTAGTGCTACAACGGAGATATTTTGGTTTTCCCCCTCCTCCCAGGGAAAGCTTCAATATTCTTCGTTTTTATGCTTTTTTGATGGTTTTATGCATAATTTTAGGCATTCCAATAACAGTTATTAGAATGATTAAAGTTATTTGTAAGAACGTTAAGAAAGCATTTTCAGTGCAGTTTTCAATTCCCAGGTTTTAAATACATTAAATGTATGAGCAGTTTTCAATTATCCAATTTTGTTCGAATTTGGTCAGTTTTCTGTAATTTTTACCAGTTGTCATTTGTTGACATCTTTTATAAGATAGATACTATTAAAATTCCAAAAACGTTTCAAGGTATTTTCACAGAATTTTTATGCACCAGCCATTTTCCTTGTTCCTAAAATTAATAAAAGATATTTCTATATTAATATTCGGTATTTTCCAAAACTTTGTGCAGTTTTCAGTTCCCAGGTTTTAAATAAATTAAATAAATTTGGGCAGTTTTCAATTATCCAATTTTGTTCGAATTTGGTCAGATTTCTGTCATTTTTTTACAACTTTTATGTTTGATTTCTGTCATTTTTGACATCTGTCATTTTTACCATCATTTTTTGACATCTTTTATAAGATAGATACTATTGAAATTTCAAAAACGTTTCAAAGTATTTTCACAGAATTTTCGTGCACCAGTAATTTTCCGTGTTCCTAAAATTATCAAAAGATATTTCTTTTTTTTTCTATTTTAACGGGTTTCCATTAATTTATTACTAACAGTATTCCGTATTTTCCAAAACTTATGTGCAGTTTTCAGTTCCCAGGTTTTAAATAAATTAAATGTAAGAGCAGTTTTCAATTATCCAATTTTGTTCGAATTTGGTCAGTTTTCTGTCATTTTTACAACTGTCATGTTTTATTTCTGTCATTTTTGACATCTGTCATTTTTACCATCATTTGTTTACATCTTTTATAAGATAGATACTATTAAAATTCCAAAAACGTTTCAAGGTATTTTCAAAAAAATTTCGTGCACCAGCCATTTTCCTTGCTCCTAAAATTATCAAAATATATTTCTATATTTCTTTGTTTTCTATTTTAACAGGTTTTCATGATTTTATTACAATATATTAACAATATTCCGTATTTTCCAAAACTCATATGCAGTTTTCATTTCCCAGGTTTTAAATAAATTAAATGTAGGAGCAGTTTTCAATTATCCAATTTTGTTCGAATTTGGTCATTTTTTACGACTGTCATATTTGATTTCTGTCATTTTTGACAACTGTCATTTTTTACATCTGCAATTTTTACCAGTTGTCATTTTTTGACATTGCTATTTTTACCATTTTTAATTTTTTGCAGTTTTCAATTATCCGGTTTAAAAAATATACCTACCAAATGGAAGGTCAACTTTTAATTATCCAATTTTGTTTAAATTTGGTCAGTTTTCTGTCATTTTATTTACGACTGTGATGTTTGATTTTTGATATTTTTGACATCTTATGTAAGAATCTATCAAAAACGTTACGAGTTATTGAGCCCTTTTTTCATAGAATCAGAATAAAAAATTACGGGTGACAGATGTCAAAAATACAAAACATGTCAAATAATAATAAAATTTATTTAAAACGCTTAAGAAGCATGTCTTCGTAACAAAAGTACAACTTTTGATAATCATCTGTCAAACGCGTACGTTACAATGAGTATTTTTGATAATAAAGAATGATTTATAGATTGCCTTTCTTCCTTCCTCCCTTCCTCCCGTAGAAGATGAACAATACAAAAAACTTAGTGCTGTTTATAGATTGCCGTAGTGCTACAACGGTAATATTTTGGTTTTGACAGATGTCAGATTGGGAAAAAGTGAGGTTAAAACCTCTTGACAGTTTTCGTTAAAATGTCACATAAAATTGACTTTTCTACAATCTGCAGATGAATTGTTCTACTTTCAGCACTACAGTCTTTTCATTTAACAGACGGACTAAAATTAACAAAATCCACAATATGCACGTGACATTCGAAAACGAAAACATTAAACAGGGCCGAATTTAAAAAATCAAAAAAGGTTTAAAGTTCATTATAAAAACAAAAGATGATGATGGCAACTCAATATCATAAGGTTTATGTTTACATGTAAAACTTACTTTGTTTTAAAATTTCCAGGAATAACAAAGTTATAGCGATTTTTGGTATTGTAAGGTTTTAAGTGTTTTTTAACGTTTTAAGATCCTCTGTTATCAATTTTCTCCAGATTTTCACATTTCTATCGCATTTCTTCTTCATTTTTCTCCGCCGTCATTTTGCTTCCCTCCCTCGTAGCGTAACGGTAACGTTACCAAATTACCCCATAGGTATCGGTTATGGATCGCGAGGTTTGCCCGCAGGTCAGGCGCCGTATCCGGGGATGTACCCGGCGGGATCGTCTCAAACGGGCGGCGACACGCAGGAGACCACCTTCCTCTACATACCCAACAACGCGGTGGGCGCCATCATCGGCACCAAGGGCTCGCACATCAGGAACATCATCAGGTTCTCCGGCGCGTCGGTGAAGATCGCCCCCATCGACGAGACCAAGCCCCAGGAGACGCAGAACGAGAGGAAGGTCACCATATTGGGCTCGCCTGAGGCCCAATGGAAGGTAAGAGCGGTTCCTTCCTCGTTTTTTGTAATCACAAAGAGTCGGCTCGACAAAAGTTGATGATAACCATGATACAGGTAGTGCTACACCCCCTTCCACACCGCACTTTTCGCTCTCGCTTGATAAAGTTAGAGAGTAATTGGACTAAATTTTAATTTATTTATAAACATTACATTACAGTAGTTATATTGGAAACCAAAAAACACAAAACGTAATAATAATTATTATAAAAAATAATAATAATCTTTACATTAATTTGTTCAAGCTTTTAAAGTAGAAATCACTTTAATGTTCTACAAATAGTTAATTGTCCAGTAGATAGATATGTTACGGCTAATGTGCAAACTTGGATAGTTTATAAACTAGCCAAACTGTCAGCTATTTTAATTAAAAATGTATTTTCAACTAAATTAGCGGCTAGTTTACAAAATAACCAAGGATCTTGGCTAATTTACTTGAAATTATTAGGGAAACTAAAATAGCTGGATTGTTTGTATACTATCCAATTCAATTTGGCTAATATGAAAACCAAAATTTCTAGTAACACAAAATAGCCAAGCTTTAGCTAGTTTGTAAAATAACCAACTAATTCTCTGGCTAATTTATTAAAAAAGTGAGGTTACGGCATTGTTTTTCGTTTTTCGTTTTATGATATTAACAAAAACGAAAAAAAAAAAAATTATCTTTAAAAAAATATCTTTATCTTTTAAAAATATTTAACAATTTATGTTATTTGATGTAAAGTTGTTATGTTTATATAAAAATTGTATGTCCATTAACTATGGTTCATGTGTCCAATTACTATACTTTTTTGCATGTTTTTATAAAACTATTATTAAAAGTTCAAAAATTCTTTTTTTAAGTAAATGTAAATAAAGTTTAAACAAACAAACTTTTTATATATTTATTAGAAAAAAACTAAAATCTTTAAAACAATGGCATACCTATATTAATTTTAAATAAATAATATTCCTTAAGTGTCCAATAACTCTGTATGTGGTTTACCCTATTAAAAAAAAATATTTTCTTTAAAAAATTATAAATTGCTGGATCCAAATGGACTGATGTTAATCAAGCAAAAATCCAGCTGGATTAAAACCCATGGGAATTGCTTGGGGTTTTAAAATTTCCGGAAAAATTGAGCCGGCGGAAAAAAATGACTTTTGCATTTTTTCATTTTATTCGAAATTTTTATGGATAATATAATACATTATAATTTATAAATATTGCACTGATATCGAGAAAAAATTTCAGACGCTGATTGTAATGATGAATATAATAATTATTCCTTTTATTTTAATTCAGTAAGATTCTATTTTTTTTTAAGTCTAAAAGTTAAAATTTTGATAAATTATGTCATAAAATCAGGTTTATAGTTAAAATGTATTTTTGTTGGAATATTTTAACTATTTTATAAAATATAGTAATTAAATTTTGTAAAATAATTTATATCTTCTCACAAAAATGCATTTTAAACTTTTAAATTGATTTTAGAAAATGATTTGTCAAAATAAAAATTTTGGACATGTTTTTAATCTCACTGATTCATTTAACATTTACTTTAATTTTTTTTAAATCGATTTAAATTAATTTAATCCAATTTAGTTTTTTTCTGTAATAAAGAATTTTTTTTAAATTAAAAGAATATGTATATTTCCAAAAATAGTAGATTATGTCATAAGGAGTAGAAGTGGCTCTTTTTGTGGTGAGTACAGAGATTGACGGCCGAAGCGTAGCTGAGGCAGGCAACTGTACGAAGCACAAAAAGAGCTTCTACTCCAAATAACATATACAATTTTTTTTTCAAGGGCGTAATAAAAATAGGATAAGCAATAGAATTATTTTATTTACTTATAACTCATGTGGTATAAAATTTTGGCTAAAAGCATTACAAATTATTGATAAAAAGTAAAAAAACTTATAACCCTTACTTACAATGCCGATAAATATCCTAAACCATAGATAACAAAGCCTAAACTAAAAATAAACACTGCTCTGTCAAAATGCTGCACTTGAATTAATTTTGACGTACTGACATTTGTTTGGAGTTCCGACATTGGCGACTCGTCTATCATCATTATATTATACTAATAAACTAGTTGTTCTTTATTTCGTTTAATTAAAATTTAATAAATAATCACTAAATATTCCGTGCGATTATAATTAATATAATTAATACATCGTGATTGCTTTGTATGAAATGCTAAATTAATTTTATTATTTGACGTCTATTGAGTCACCTATGGATTTACTTCTATCCCTAGGCTTTTTTGAGTTTTTTGTCTGCCGCTAATGAAAAAGACGTACTTCAACTATCTCTATACATGCATATAACGTTGTATATCATGGCCGCTTGAAAAAAAACAATCATTTTTTCCAAAAATGACAATTTTTCCAAGGCCTTTTTTCCGGTTTTCTTCCGACACTTGAAAACCCTAGTCTTGGTTATTATTAACTTTTGTATGGAAGTAAAGGCGGGTTTATACAACAATTGATAATTTAGTGGACAATTTATTTCATAACTCAATTGTTAATTTAATGCATAATTTAATACATAATACATAACTTTAAAATCTGGATTATACAATTCATTAATTTAGTAAATATTTTATTTTTTTAAATGACAATATTGATTATTAAAAGTTGCAAGTGACACAAAATCCATCATTGAAACTCATCTTATGTGGAAACTTTGTAGTATTTTTTAAGGCACAAACACAAAACACAATAATTATTATTCATAACCTTATAAAATGGAGAGAAAAATTGTTGGCACATGCGCGGTTTAATTTTATTATTTATAATTCATAATTTATTTCATAAAAGTTAAATTTCGTGAACTTTCAAGGTTATTCAATAAACACTAAATTGTGAGTTACGCATTAAATCCTTGTATAAACTGTTCCACAGCAGATAGTGCGATTTAACTTTTATGCTTATGCACTAAATTGTGAATTATGAAATAAATTAATGATATGAAGTTGTATAAACCCGCCATAAATTCGAATGTCTCTGTTGTCTCAGGCGCAGTACCTCATCTTCGAAAAGATGCGCGAGGAGGGCTTCGTGGCCGGCTCGGACGACGTGCGGCTGACCGTCGAGATCATGGTGCCTAGTTCGCAGGTCGGCCGCATCATCGGCAAGGGCGGGCAGAACGTGCGCGAGCTGCAACGCGTCACCGGCAGCGTGATCAAGTTGCCCGAGCAGGGCGCAGCGCCGACCGAGAACGACACCACCGTTCACATCATCGGACCCTTCTTCAGCGTGCAGGTGAGCTTTTACACTTTTACTTGACGGAATAATTAAATACAGGATGGTGTTACCGCGTAGCGGTCGAGGGGTTTTATTTTTAAGTATTTTGCATGAAACTATTTTCCAAAAAGAAAAATCAAATAAAAAACTTACTGAGCATAGTTTGACAGATTAAATTTATAGGTTGAGTGATATACGTCTAGATTATTTCTCGAATTAAAGGAAACTATTTGACCATTCATAAAATCTGACGTATGTGTCAAAATTTATAAATATTTTTTTAAAGAAAATTCCATTAATTTAAGGTATGATATTGATAATTGATATTTCGTAAACTAGATAACTTATTTTTTATTGTTTTTTTAAAAATGTTTATTAAAACTTGTAAATAACACCATAAAATCGTAAACAAAAATCCAATATGGAGGCTAAAATTTAATCGCTGTTAAATAGTTCTAGTGATTTAATCGCTTATTTAAAAGAAATTTATTCGAAAATTCAAGGCTTTTGATTGGTTCATATTATAATGAGGGAAATAATCGTTTTTATTTTAATTTTGGACTGACATTTTTATTAATAAAAATCATTTTGTTCATTTGTCATTTCTCAAAAATATTCGTTTTTATTTCCACTGTTTGCATTTTTTATACTTTTAATAATAATGCCACAATCCACACAACAATGTCTGTTCTATCTCGTTTTGCGCAACATTTTTTAATCCATTTAGGTTGCTAGAGTTAAAATACGAATTTTTGAAAGGATCTATAGAAAATAAAAATTATGCAAAAGTGTTATTTCCCACAGATTTCCCATAGATTATTTTAAAAATTCGTTACCAAACTCGAGAAACAAAAATATCATCATGTTGATAGCCTAAAAATTGATTATTTTAGATTATTTTTTATGAAAATCCATGTGCAAGCTCGTAAGATATAAAATAAAAAAATGTAACTTTAAAATTATTTTTTTGAAATGTGTGCTGTAACAAAATTTTAATTTTAAATTTTTTCTTTAAAATTTTATAGGTTTAAAATTTTCCCAACTAAAAATTTTAGGTTTACATTTATAAATTTAAAATATTTTCAACTATTGAACAGTTCTGTATTAAACAAAATTATTCCAATCAGTTTTTGCAAAAATTTTTAACTATCTTTTTTAATAAAAATAATTTTTAAGTATAATTTATTTGGGCAGAATTTTGTAAATCCTAAATAATTTTTTTATAAAATTATTTAGATGAAATTGGTCAAGTTAAATTTTCTAGGATTTAAAATAATAACACATATATGTAAAACATTTTCTACCAAAAAATTAAATTTGTTTGATCTCAAAATAATTGATATTCAAAAAATGTTTTAAATATAAAATGCAAATGTAAAAGTTCAGGTTTAAAATATTGGTTATATATTTTATTCTACAAAATTATTGGTTTAAATTTGGAAAGAGTCATTTAAATGATAGTTGATACATTTTTAATACAAAAATAATCACATAACATTTAAATATTTAAGCTTAAAGTTTTACAGTTGTATTTTATATTAAAAAAAAATTTTGACTATCAATTGTTTTGAGTTTAAAAAAATTAACATTGTAAATTTCTGTCAAAACATCATAAAAGTGCTAAACTTTAATTTTTAAACTACACTTCACTTCTAACTCTAACACGCCTTTACCAATCTTTAGAAAATTTTGGATAAAAATACTTTAACTTATATCTCCTTATTTAATAATAAAAAAACGCTCAAAAAAAAACTTTTATGGGGAATTTTTTTAAGTAAATAAAAAATATGGTGTGAAATACCTTATTTTTGTAAGTATACCCTGAAAATGTACAGGGTGATCCCCTATAATGTCGCCCCTTTTAACTTTTTTATTTTAAGGGTCCCAAAAAATTTAAAAGTGTGGTTATGTAGGAACTAAAAAATACTTTTTTTCTACGTATAAAGAAAATTGGAAAATTGATCAGTAAACAGGGAATGGATCACCCTATATATGTATTTATTTTTCGATTCCTTGTAAAATTCTAAGCATATTTCATATAACATACCATATACCTAAATTCAACCGTTTCTGAAATATTTAAATTATTTTTAAGATAATAAAATGAAATAGTTTGTTTTTCTCTGTCTGAATACGCCATTTTTACTTATTTAACAAGACATATTGACATAATGTCACTATAGTAATTTATTTTTAATAAAAATTTTGGTATACTGAGGCTTCTTGATTTCTAACAGTTTAAAAATACATTTAATGATAACATTTCGAATGCGAATATTTCAGAAACAGTTAAATTTAGGTATGGTTTGTTATATGAATTATGCTCAGAATTTTACAAGGAATCGAAAAATAAATTTATATATAGGGTGATCCATTGAACAAAAATAAACTTTTTGTTTTTCCCTGTATACTGATCAATTTTACAATTTTCCAAGTATTTTTTAGTACCTACATAACAACACTTTTAAATTTTTTGGGGCACTTAAAATAAAAATGTTAAAGGGGGCGACATTATAGGCCCTATAATATAGGGGATCACCCTGCACAAATCAAATGAACAAAGTTCCCTAAAAGTGATTTTTTAAACGTTTTTTTATTATTAAATAAAAGGGCTTTAAAAATATTTTCTCGAAAAACCCTCGAACACGTAAACTGAGATATAAGCTGAAGTATTTTATAAAAAATTTCATAAAGATTGGTAAAGGCGTTTTAAAGTTAGAATTTTTTTACTTATTATGCGTTAGTTTTGACGCGCATTGTATTATCTAATAAATGCTAAAACGGCGTGCCATACTGATGCTTTATAAAATCAAATATTAAATTCTATGGTAACTCTTCAAACGTAGATGCTTTGTTAACGTATTCTAGAATGCGAAAAACACTTGTAAAACATGTTAAAAAAGGAAATAAAAATGTGTGTTTCAGTCTGCACAGAGGCGCATCAGAGCGATGGTGCTGCAGTCAGTAGTGCCGCCGCAGGGGCGGGCGAGGCAGCCGCGCCCCCCCAAGGACCCCAGCCAGAGCGCGGAGCCTTCGACGAGCGAAGAACAATAAGAAAACCCAGCTAACGACCATCACTGCCCGGTGCATGCAGCTAAACTCTACGACGACGTAAAGCGCGATAAAAGGGAATCTCGTTACGGTTCGCCGCCCAAAATCCATCCTTCCATGGGAGAAAACGCGATTTTCCCCCGCCCAATTTTTCCGCCGGCGAAAATTAACGAGACGCGTTCGTCGCGAGCATGCACACCATACAAACTACCTCAGAAAATCAAAATATATTAGAATTATAGCCAGATAAATTTCAGTTTCATATACAGCACCAACCACAGTAACCTCATCATCTGCTGCAGTTATTTTTATTACTACTTATACCTGATTGCAAGGACTACCAAAGATGATTATTTCGTTTTATATCTACATACTTATAGTTCGTCGTGTTAGTTCGTACAGCTTGTTATCATCGTAATACACATAACGAAATTTCCCGTAACAACAAAGAAGCAAAACGATTGTAGAGACAGTCACCGTTATTCATCTGAAGAGTCCCACTGAAGAAATCCAGCGTTACATCAAAATAGGCGAAAGTTCCTCTGCAGAAGCGCAGTATAAGATGTAGGCAACACACGAAACTACCCGCATCCTATACTGCCTTAGGCTGGGCCAAAAAACGACTATTTTTTTGTATATTGTTTGGGATGACAAAAAAAAATTATTGTGAAAGTTTGACCTAATAATATTAATATTAAGAGGTCTATCTTCGCAATTTAATTTTTTTTTCCTGAGCGAGTTTTTATCCTAGAACTCCCCTTGAGTTTAACAAAATTGACTCAGAAATATTTTTTGAAGGAAATTGATTGCTCTACAAAAAAGTCCGATTAAAATTTTCCGTCAGATGAACCGTTTCCTTACAATCATGCCTTAAAAATTGGTATAGTTTTATAATTTGATCTTTTAACTTTGGAATTTTGTAATTCCGTACCCGGAATTAAAAATTACAAAAAAAAATATTTTTTTCCAAAGAAGCCTATTTTTCCAAGGCCTGAAGAAAATTGATAAATTGACAGAAAAATTGAATTTTGCATTATCCGTTATTTACGGATACCACGGATAATACGGAAAAAATGCAAAATTAAATTTTTCTGCAATTTTTCAATTTTTGGCTTCAAAAAAATTCCGAAAAAAGAGACGTTCCGTACCTTGCAGAAAAAAAAACAAAAAAAGGTGTTTATAAATATCATAAAAATGCTTCATTTACTAAAATTTACAAAAAAAAATCAATTTTTCCAAATAAGCCCAAGGCTGGGGATAGTTGATAAATTTGCAGAAAAATTGTATTTCGCATTATCCGTAATACGGATACCACGGAAAAAAATCGAAATTCAATTTTTCTGCAAATTATTTAATTTTTGTCTTTGTCTTCATTGGGAAAAATTACATTTTTTTCAAAATTTAAAAAATACACACATTTTAATAAAAGATGCATTTTTATGTTATTTATAAAAAAATACTTTTTTTTTAATTTTACGGGTACTGATTTTCACACGAATTACAAAATTCCAAAGGTGAAAGATCAAATTGTAAAACTACCAATTTTTAAGGCATGATTGTAAGAAAACGGTTCATCTGACGGAAAATTTTATTAAAACCTTTTTTGTAGAGCATTCAATTTTCTTCAAAAAATATTTTCGAGTCAATTTTGTTAAACTGAATGGTTTGGGAGTTCTGAGACAAAAACTCGCTCAGGAAAAAAATCTAAAATTGCGATGATAGACCTCTTAATATTAATATTATGGACGCAAACTTTCACAATAATTTTTTTTATCACCCGATATACTTAAAAAAATAGTCGATTTTTCGGCCCAGCCTAATACTACCTACTTAACGTGGCTGTTGTAATTTCAAGTGTGAATGTGAAAAAAAGCTTTAAGAATTGTTGGACCTACCACTAAACCACTAAAATCATCGAGTGCAACGATTCGGCGCGCTAAACTAAAAAAAACTTTTATGAAAATATTGAGTGTGATTAATTATTAATTGATAGGAATTGTTGGAACAATTGACGCGCGCGCCCCTTAATTATTATTTGTTGAGGAGTGGGGGCCGCGCGTGCGCGACAGATGTCGCTGATTATACGAGTTGCCTGGTTTTCGACAGGCGACTAAACGATGAAGAAGAAGAAGAAGACGAGTCGCGGAGGCTGTGCAGCCTGTTCGGCGGTTCGATGCCTTGTGTCAAGGCCGCCGCATCTCTAAAAGTACAAACGTCGGGAGGTATATTGGATCTTCGTGCCCGTCCCGGTCAGTCCGGGCCTGTAAAAAATATTTTTGATAAAAATTATTTGTTGGGGAGGATATTTTTTGTTAGATAAAAAATTATGACACGCTGGGGTCACTATTTTTAAATTATTAATGATAATAATGATATAAAAAAACGAATATAAAATTATTATATGTCGCTAAATTGCCGGCCCAAGGGTAAAGTTATTTAACCCTTGGCATTCCAAAACAAATTCTCCTTTAACATTTTTTTTTCGAATTTGCTAACCTTTAAAATTTCCGGTAAGTCTTCGAAAAAATTCAGAATTTTTCAAAATTAGGTATCTATTGTAAGAATTGGATTTTTTCCCCAATTTTCGCATTTTTTTCGAGCTTTTAGCATTTTGAAAAGGAAAAGCTGAAAAATTTGCAGAAAAATTGAATTTCGCATTATCCGTAATCCGTAAAAAATGCAAAATTAAATTTTTCTGCAAATTGTTCAATTTTTGGCTTTGAAAAAAATTGAATTTTTTTGAAAATTTTAAAAACACATAAAAGAAGCATTTTTTATGTTATTTATATATATATAAGTTACTTTTTTTTTTAATAAAATTTTCTGAAAAAGGACATTTTTTCCGCACCTTGCATTTTTTCCTAAATCATTTTAAACAGAAAATTGAAAAATTTGCATTTAAATTAATTTTGCATTTTCAGTAATACTGGTATTACAGATACTAAGGAAAAGATGCAAAATTTAATTTTTCTGCAATTTTTCAATTTTCCGTTTAAATTGATTGTGATTAAGGCCCGGAATAAACTGAAAAAAACTGCTTTTTTGAATTTTTTGTCATGTGCGAAAAAAAATTTTTTTTTTTTAAATTGAATTTAAAAAAGTATTTATCTATAAATAACATAAAAAATGCCTAATTCATTAAAATTTACAAAAAAATCATTTTTTTCCAAAGAAGCCAATTCCTAAGAAAAATTGGATAAATTTGCAGAAAAATTGTATTTTGCATTATCCGTAATACGGATACCACGGAAAAAATGCAAAATTCAATTTTCCTGCAAATTATTTAATTTGTCTTTTTGGCTTCAATGGGAAAAATTGCATTTTTTTGAAAATTTAAAAAATACACACTTTTTAATAAAAGATGCATTTTTATGTTATTTATAAATAAATGCTTTTTTGATCAAATTATTTTAAAAGACTCCATGCCTTGCAAAAAAACAAAAAAAAATTTTTTTTCAATTTTCTGTAAGTTTTTCAATTTTCCGTTTTGTGATTTTTTAACTTAAAATTTAAAACTTTAAAGGTTTGGAAAAAAACTTTTTTTTTGTTTATTTTTTGCAAAAATTGGATTTAAAAAAGTATTTATAAATTGGCAGAAAAATTAAATTTTTGACTTTTTTTTCATTAAAAAAAATTGCATGATTTGAAAATTTAAAAAATAAACACGTTTTAATAAAATATGAAAAACAAAATATAGGTGTTTATAAATAACATAAAAAATGCTTCTTCTATTAAAATTTACAATAAAATTCAATTTTTTCCAAAGAAACAGGTTTTTTCGACACTTCGTACTATACCGTCAATAGAACCCCGATTGTTCGAATGTAGGTAGGCAACCCCGATTACAAATCAACAACACTTGGTTATAAATATAAATAACTCCTGTAATTTTGCGATTTCGAAAAAATGCTAAAGGAAACTTCGTTTTGGAATTTTAAGGGGGATTCGCCTGTGCCCTTTGGGCCGGCAATTTCGCTACACCCTGTATAAAATTTATTATGTATAAAAGAAATTTTAATTTATTTGTACAGATTTATAGTGTGCCAAAGTGCAAGGGGTTACCAGAAACACTTGTTTATAAAAAATGTTAGAGTAAAAAAGGGTACATATATTTATGCTGGCGTCATCTCAAAAAGTAAAATTAGCACTTGCCCAGTACATTCGGGACCCGGAATAAAACGCGCACCCGCCGTTTTTATATCTACACACAATCAGACCTTGTACAAATTATTAACGAGACTCCAAGTACAAAAACCTTCTAACAATAAAAACTTAAAATCTAACTCGCAATTATCTCAGCATCCCCCAAAGTTTTGAGTAACCAATCCAACCCAATACGACAAAAATACTACCGTTCTCTCGTGCAAAGTAAAGCCAACTGAATCGGATCTAATTTCCTCAGTATTTTTTTTATTTCTGCCGTCTCGCCCACCGCAGATGTCTAATACGGAAAATACCGAATTCTCAAAGTAATGCTTTTTGCATTGAACCGTTCATTTCAATGAACAAAACCATTTTGAATTGGTATCAGTCAACAATATCGATTTTTGTAATACATTGAATTTTTATATTAAACACATACATATATGGTATATAAGTAAAAATATTTATGTGCCTACCCCCGCCCCCATTTCTAGACCTTTCTCTGATTAATTTTGATCGTTTTTCCGCAGTCAAAAGATTGAACTCGCCCTATATAATATAATAAAAATATGCGTGGAGTATATTACCCCTAATAAGTGTTTCTCTGTAAAATTGGATGTTTTAGCAAAAAAATCGAGTCAATCTTTTGTAAATTTTGTTTAAATTCGTCGAAAAGATTTCAATGTATTGTACCCACATCAAAATTTGTCAAGAAAGGGTCTCCACCTATAGTTATAGTTTTTTGAATTAAATCATTGCATTATCTTTGATACTACTAAGTTTTAGTCTAAAATTAACCGATTTCAAGCAAACCACATAAAAATAAAATCCCCCAAAGTCGGGGATTTAATTGAATTCAATAGCCGGTTTACATGAAATCACATAGTATAAAAATATATGTAATTTGGTATTTTTTATAGTTTGTTTTGAATATACATTTATTTGTGAATCACCATAGTTTATAGTACATGTTTCACACACTAAGCTGGACGGAGACTGACTGTGCAGATTTTAGTACCTTAGACTCGGATACATGTACATCAGATCAGTCGATTACTACTACAAAAGAAAAATGCACAATAGCTTTCATAAAAATACTACATTTGCCATCGATTTTATAGTACTACTAGTACTTTATCCGATCTAAGACGTAAACTACCTCAGTAATTAATTATTAATATATTTCTATAACTTAATACGTTGTTCATGTTTTTGGGTATCAATATAAGTTTATATATCTGGTGAATGCTATTTGTACAACATAAACAATCTTATTTATAGTAAAAAATACAATAAGATGAAAAAAATCTTGTGTCAGTGTGCCATTGTTTTTGTAACCATGTTATTTAATGTGCAGCATATTAATCGAATAGAATTACAAAAAAATAAAACATGTTGGTTATGTGTTGGTAACGTACAGGGTGTTTTCATCGCTCCTTTTCACATTTTCTACTGTCAGTAAATTATGGCGTTCATAACCTCAAAATCAATTGACAGTTGGACATTTTAATCTTTAGCTAAACCAAAACACCCTGTATATAAAAGAATGTTTTCTCAGGAATTAAATCTCAGGTTGCATAACATCCATCTTGAAGGGTGATATTAAAAAATCGCCCTTCAAGCTTAACGCTGTTTAGTAAAATAAGAAAACCATAGATTTTAATATTTGTTACATGGACAAAAAAACGTACGTAGATTTGGACCGCAGTTTTTGTACGACTTGTGCACTTTTCTTATTTATTATAATTTTGCCGAAAACATGATGCGCAATTCATACAAAAAAATCAGGTCGAATGCTTTTTATCATTAAATATTTCATGCCAAGTTTAACAGTTTTTAATTTGTGAAACTGAGCGAACCCAAAATTTAGCCGCGTAATGTCTGTAAATATGTTTTTAATTATTTTTATTTAATTCAAAATAGATTATTGTAATGTTCTACTTTAATGTGTTTAATAAGATGGCATACTTGATTTCAATTATTTATGTTCCATTGTCCAAATACTTCAGTTAAATAAATAGTGTTCCCTTAAAATGACTATTATTTATCCTAGAACAAAAATAAGTTTTCACTTAACCCTCGTATATTAGGAGACATGGCAACAATGCTACAATATACGGAAGAAGAAGAAGAGAAGCGTCAAACGTCAACTTTATTTATTTGTGATTTACGTTAATCAATAATAATTATTGTTATTACAAAGTTCTATATACGTTGCTTTGGGATAAATTACTCGTTATATTAATTACTGTAAAAATTTATTTTTACCCGACCCACGTATACTGGATGGCTTGGGAATTTGTGGAAGAAGAAGAAGAGACGCGTCAAACGTCAACTTAATTTATTTGTGTTTTACGTTAATCGATAATTGTTGCAAAAAAAGTTCTAAATACGTTCTAAAAGTTCTAAATACGTTCGTTTGGGATGAATAGGTATGTTTTGATGTTGTATATTGATACGCTTAAATAGTTTTCATCAAGTTATCAATCATTTTTTCAAGATAAAGCTTGTTATCCATACGTGCGATCAATAATGGGATAGTTTTATTAACAAAATGCTTTTTTAGGTCGGGAAATCTGCCGTTCGCAACTTATAATCCTTACTTGGACAATTCAAGTAGTTTAAATCAGGTAAACAACTCTCCTGGGTTTGGTAAACGAAAGTTTTTTAAAAAACGCAAAAGGCCGAATACCTTGTACAACTCTGGCAGTTTTAATAATGCCACCCAAAACGAAGGTGATTACGATCCTTCTTGGGAGTACTCTGATCATGGGGGTCATAGCCCTAGAAGAGAATATTCCCCCAGAAACCATGATTATGATGAATTAAGGTATTCGCCCCCTGTGTCGAAGAGAATGAACTTTGAGAGCCCTGAAAGGGAAATTTTCTATGAAAGGGAGCCAAGTCCTGAAGGAAGATATTCCCCCAGTCCGCCCAGGGATTATGGTAATTCTAGGGATAATTTCGGTGGCAATAAGCAAGTCCCTAGAAGATTTAATGGGCCTAAACCAAAGGGTAGCCCTAATAAAATCAATCCGTGGGCTAATGGGGGCCCCAAACCTAAATGGCAAAACCCGGGACCCAAGTTTGGTCCTGGTACTAGTAAGGCAGGTCCAAGCATTTATAAACCAAACCCCAATCAGGCTAAAAAAGTTATTTCTCAGCCCATGAAGAAAAAGGGAAACAAGCCAAATAATAACCCCAAAAAAGTCATTAATCACCCTCATAAAATCGAGGTTAAAGAACCGCTCAAGAACCCTCCCAAATATATTCCTCTAGGTTCCCCTAAAAATCCTCCAAAATCGCCTGCTAAGAAGAACCCGGCCAAAAACACCCAAAATCCCCAGAACCCACCAAAGGCCCCTCAAAATCAACCACCGGCCCCCATTCTATTCTTGAGTTCGACAGCAAAGGAAACGTACTCGGGCCCCCCTCATCTACGTGTTATAATAACGTCGCACGGCAAACAGCCTTTTCCTTCGGGCATCTGGCTCAACCTGACGAAAAGATCGCTGATAGAGGCCGAACTCCTGAAAGCCCTGGACTTGGCCTTGAAAAAGCCCGACGAAGTCCAGCCTCTGTTCGACAGCATGGAGTTCGCTTTTAAACTGGT